TTTTTTTTTTTTTTTTTTTTTGGGTGGTGCTGTTTTAGGAGGTCAAAGAACTCTCAAATCTACCTATCAGGAGTGGGTTATTGGGTAGGCACTATTCCTAAAACTGTTACCTGATTCTGATGCGAGCCCAAGCTCTTTGCTTCCTCATCTCCAAGATGTGAGGAACACTGTCTCACACTCCCACCACCAGAGGCATTCCTGGTGCCAAGCCCTCCCTGCCAGGATGGGCTACCAAATTAAAGCTTATGATGGTTCACAATCATCTATAATTCCAGTCCCAGGCTCTTCAAGGGCATCAGGCATGCATGTGGTACACACACGTAGACAAAACATCCATACACACAAAGTAAATAAATAAAAATTTAAAGTATGTAAACAATTAGATGTATTTAGTGTGTTTGTGTGTATACACGTGCACATGTATGCTACATGTGTGAGGCAGTAAGAGAACAACTTGTGGGAGTTGGTTCTTTCCTTCCATCATGTGGGGCCCAGGACTCAAACTCAGATCAACAGGCTTGGCTGCAAGTATCTTTACCCACTGAGCCATCCTGTGGCTCCCCTTTCCCCTCTTAATGTATCTGTCACTTGTTACAGTAATTGAAACTGTGTGACTACACAGCCTTGTACAACATGGATAAATCTCAAGATAACTGTGCTGTGAAAGAGAGCAGACACAGCCCACCAAAAGCAGCACTTAGTGTTTGAGTTCTCTTACATAGAATTTTAGAAAAATGCAGGGCCAGGGAGACAGCTCAGCAGGCAGAGGCGCTTGCTGCCAATCCTGGCGGCCCGTGTTCTACCCCTGGGACCCAGTGTTTGAAGGAGTGATCGACTCCTGCAAGCTGTCCTCTGACCTCCATACATGTTCCACAACGTACTTATGTGCATATGCACACACACATATAAACACATGTACAGAATGAATAGCTGGGTGGTGGTGATGGTGGTGGCGGCGGCGGTGGTGGCGGTGGCGGCGGCGCATGACTTTAATCCCAGGCGGATCTCTGTGAGTTTGAGGCCAGCATGGGCCACAGAGTGATACAGGACAGCCAGAGATACACAGAGAAAGAAAAGAAAAAAAAAATGAATGAATAAATACAATGATTTTTTAAGCAGATGAATGGTATCCTGAGGAGGGGGTGGTAATGGAAGGGAAGGACTACAAAGGAGCACAAGGAGATCTTGGGGACTGACGACATGGTTGCCATCATGATTATGCCAATATTTTCTCTTAAAAAAATATTCAGAGAGCTAAAAACATGTAGACCAGCCCAATGATGGGATCCTCAATTTTTTAAGATTTATTTATTTTATGTGCATTGGTGCTTTGGTTGTGTGTGTGTGTGTGTGTGTGTGTGTGTGTGTGTGTGAGAGAGAGAG